CTATACAAAGAACTCATCTCAACAGCAACAAAACAAACAACATGGTTTAAAAATGGGCCAATGATCTGGACATTTCTCAAAAGACGACATACAAATTGCCAACAAACATATGAAAAAATACTCAACATCACTAAACATCAGGAAAATGCAAATGAAAACCACAATGTGGCCAGGTGTAGCGGCTCATGCCTGTAATCCCAGTACTTGGGGAGGCCGAGGCGGGTGGATCACCTGAGGTCAGAAGTTTGAGACAAGCCTGACCAACGTAGTGAAACATTGTCTCTACTAAAAATACAGAATTATCCAGGTGTGGCACACACCTGTAATCCCAGCTACTTGAGATGCTGAAGCAGAAGAATCACTTGAACCTGGGAGGCAGAGGTTGCAGTGAGCCAACATCGTGCCATTGCACTCCAGCCTGAGCAACAAGAGCAAAGCCCCATCTCAAAAAAAAAAAAAAAAAAAAAAAAAAAAAAGGGATGACGTTTGATAGCAACAAAGACACTTCATCCATTGTAATGATAATCTAACATTTACTCAGCTCCTACTATGTACCAGGCACTATTCAAAACACCTTACATGTATTAATTCTCATAACCACTCTGTGAGGTAATAGTATTATTGCTCTCGTTTTAAAAATGAAAAAACGAAGGTGTAGTGAGTTTAACTTACTCAGGTTCACACAGGTAGCAAATAGTAGCCAGATTTGGTTACAGAGCTAGTAAATGGTAAAGACAGTGTATGGTAGAGCCATACCCTGGCAATATGGCATTAGATTGCATGCCCTTGACCATTACCCTATTCTGTAAGTGGAGGAAGCTACAGTGTAGGCACAAATGTAAGTAGGAAGTAGATTTATACTGAAAGAATAAGGGCCTTATGTCAGGCTGCTATAACAAAGTACCACAGACTGAGTAGTTTATAAACAGAATTTTTTTCACAATCTGGAGGCAATATATCTGAGATCAGGGTACCCTCATGGTCAGGTTCTGGTGAGGACCCTCTTCCAGGTTGTAGACTGCTGAATTCTCTGCCTCACATGGCAGAGAGAGAGCACTTTTGGGTCTCTCTTTTTTTTCTGATCCCCTCACCAGATGGAACGTGAACTCCCATAATGTTTGCATCTTTCTTTAAGGTACTCATCACTCTATGTTACAGCTTACAAACACATTTCTTACCACCCCTATAAGCTGAGATTCTTGAAGGGAGTGATCCATATATTTATTATTTATCCTAGTACCCCAATGGCATCTTAGAGAATGTCTTGTAAGTAGTAATGATATATATATTTTTTTGCTTGAGGGCATTAACCCCATCCTGAGGACCTGCCCTTCTGACTTAATTATCTCTCAAAGGCCCCAATTCCTCATACTATCACATTGGGGTTTAGGATTTCAACATACGAATTTTGAAAGGACACATTCAATGCATAACAATGAAGTTCTCAATAAGAACACATGGACACAGGGAGGGGAACAACACACACCGGGGCCTGTAGGGACGGGGGAAGGAGAGAGCATCAGGATAAATAGCTAATGCCTGTGGGGCTGAATACCTAGGTTATGGGCTGGATAGGTGCAGCAAACCACCATGGCACATGTTTACCTATGTAACAAACCTGCACGTTCTGCATATGTATCCTGGAACTTTAAATTAAATTAAACAATGAGGAGGTTCTTGATTAATTGCCAACATGATATTTTGTTGCACAGCTGTACCATAATTTTAAACCAATCAGTTCCCTATTGATGAACTTTTGTGTCCAGGCTTTTGGTATTATAATGATGCAATGAATATAATGAATATTTTTTTGCCTATCTCTTTGAACACATATAAGTATTTCTATATAACAGAGATCTAAAAGTGGATTTTCCAGATCTACATACTTAAAATTTTAATATTGTCAAATGTCCTCCCCAAAGGTTATACTTATTTATACTCCCATCCAAAATGTACAAGAGTATCTATTTTCTGTACCTTTGGCAACATTTAGTGTTATAAATTTTTATATCTGACATTCTGATAAGCTAAAAATGACAACTCAACATCTAGTGCCCAGATCTTGGTTTCTAAAAATCATTTCCCAATAAAATGAAGTAGGGATCCATGCAGAAATGATTAATTCCAGTGCTAGAGTAGGGAAAAAACAAGATGAGCCTGGAACATCGTGTGGTGCCAGAAAACAAGGAAGTGGGCAAAAAATGGAGACATAGGTCTAAGAACAGAGGAGCCAACCTGAAGGAGCTCCTAATGGCCAAAGGTAAAAGAATTTGAGCAATGAAACAATGACAGTGTTAGGTTATAAGCCATAGAGTAAAATAAACATCCATGCTGATATAAATAGATGAGAAAATAAGCAGGAGATAGGACATCTTCCTTACAGAATTTCAAGAGTGAAAAAAAAAAAAAATAGAAAACCACTGCTGTTGTCTGAATGTACCTCCCCAAATTCATACGCTGAAACTTAATCATCAATGTGATCAATGTGATAGTATTATTAAGAGGTGGGTCTCTAGGAGATGATTAAGTCATGAGGGTGGAGCCCTCATGATTGGGATCAATTACCTTATAAGAAAGGATTTGCCCTTTTTACCATTCTGTACCTTCTGTCATAAAAGGAAACAGTGTTCTTCCCCTCTGGAGGATACAGCAACAAAGTGCCATCTTGGAAGGAGAGAACAGCTTTCACCAGACGCTGAACGTGTCAGCACCTTGATCTTGGACTTCCTAGCTTCCAGAACTGCGAGAAATAAATATCTGTTCTTTAAAAGTTACCCTGCCTCCATTTTTTTTTTTTTGTTATAGCAGCACAAACAGACTAAGATAATCCCCACTAGGTAAACACTACAGTAACAATTGCTACTATGAAGAACAATTGATAAATGCTAAAAGTAGTGGGCAAAAATATGATGGGAAACAGAATATTTGAATGGTCTCAATGTATCTTCCAGAAGATATTTAGTAATTATAAAGAGGAAAGCGATAACATAACAGTAAAGAAATACGGCAAACACCCCTTTAACCAAGTGATCCAGGTTAACATCACCAGTATTAAAAATTATCCTCATATATGTCCTGATATAATGCACTAAAAGGGGCTAAAAACACTTTTGTGGTATTCTCACCAAAAACACAAAACACGAGAAAACATTACACAGATCCTCATTAGGGACATTACACAATATAACTGACCAGTACTCTTCAAAATTGTCATGGTCATCAAAGACAGAATGAGAACTGTCACAAATGGGAACAAAATAAGATAACAAAATGCAACACAGGATCCTGGATTTGATCCTGGACCAGGAAAGGACATTAATGGGACAACTGGCAAAACTCAAATAAGGTCTCATATAGTTTAATAGTGTTTTATCAATATTAGTTTCCTGATTTTGATAACTGCACTATAGCTAAGTGAAGATGTTAGCATTAGGGGAAGCTGAGTGAGGATACATGGGAATGCTCTGATTATTTTTGCAAGTTTTCTATAAATCTAGAAAGGTTTTTAAAAATGAGAGCCCATTGTCTTAATTTGCATTACTACTCTGAGCATTTGTCTTAGTTTATTGGTCATTTACATTTTCAACAAATTTCCTTCTCCAACTTTTTTACTGGATTTTTTTTGTATACTAAAAAGTTATATACATTGTACACTAAAAAATTAGCTCCTTGTATGGGATAAATATATTTTCCAGTTTGTCTTTTGAGTTTTCTGAATGGTGAGCTTATATGTATATGTGTATATGAATGTTTTTCTTTTCTTTTTTTTAGAGACAGAGTCTTGCTATGTTACCCCGTCTGCTCTTGAACTCCTACCCTCAAGTGATCCTCCTGCCTTGGCTTCCCAAAGTGTTGGGATTACTAGCATGAGTTATCGTGCCTGGCCTATGGATGTTTCTAACTGATTTCTGCTGACCTGTGGGCAGAAAATAAGGAATAATAGCAAAGTGGTTTAAGTTTTCAACTGTAATCAAAAGACTACAAAATAAAAACACTACTTAATGGAAATGGCTGCCTCTCCAAGTTTTTTTTTCCTCCATAAAAATAACATTTATTTAAAAAAATTACACACAGTAAACTTCATTCTTTTTGGTGTACAAGCCTATGGGTTTTGACAAATGCACATACTTATGTAACTACAATACAGATACAGAAAATTTCCATTATTAAAACAAATTCCTTGTGCGACCACTTTGTAGTGAAGGAGCATTCCAACCTTAACCCCTGACATCCATTGAATTTTTTTCTCCATCCCTATTGTTTTGCTTTTTGAGAAAATCATATGGATGGAATCAAACAGTAAGTAGCCTTTTGAGTTTGGCTTCTTTTACTTAGTAAAATGTATTTAAGATTCATCTATGTGGCTACATGTATATTTCATTAGTTTTTATTGCTGAGTAGGATTCCACTGTATGGATATACTACAGTTTATCTATGCACCAGTTGAAGGATAGCCTTCATTTTTATGTTCCTTAATTGCAGTGGTCTTTAGGTCTAGTAAAAAGCAGAGGTGAGATTTTCTACCTAACAGAAAGCAGTTCCTTCTAAAAATGTCCAGCTTAGAAGTATGCCCCGGGTAACATGTGCAGGAGGCTACACCAGGATAATTTATTCCTTGTCACTTAAACAATATCTGAAATTGGAGTGTTAATCCTAAGTGAGCAGTGTATCAAAGAAATAGGAGTTTGTTCTGAGTATAGTCAGATAATATCACCAGAGTAGGCCTGAAAAATATTCTGGAAGCCATGCCATTGGCAGAATTAAAAAAAAAAAATTTAGTTAAAAAAATGCTGAAAAAAGTAAAAATCACCCCGAATCACATCACGTTAAAAATTTTACAAAGTAAAAGTCCTCCTTCAGCCTGTTCAATCCCACTTCCAAAGGTTTACAACTTTCTATGTCTATTTCCCAGCTTTTTCTTAAATTTATTCAGAAATATCTATATATACATACTATACATATATTAATGCTTTTGTATAAAAATGTATTCACACTATATATATTTCTGCATCTTGTTTTTTAACTTAAAACACAACCTTGGACATGAGTACAGGTCATAATATATTCATAGATACACTTCACTATTTTAATAGCTGCATAGTATTGTACTAAATAGATGTGTTGTAAGTCATTTACCCATTTTCCTACCAATGGACATCCCTACTTTTGAGAGTTTTATTGAGATATAATTAATACACCACACAATTCACCCATTTAAATTGCACAATTCCTGGTTTTTAGTATATTCAGAGTTGTGAAATCACCACAATCAATTTTAGAACATTTTCATCAACCTCTAAAGAAACTTCATACACTTCAGCTATTACCCCCAGCCCTTCCCATTCCCCCAAGCTCTGTGTCAGCCCTAAGCAACCACTAATCCACTTTCTATCTCTATATATTTGCCAATTCTGGATACTTCATAGAAATAGTATCATATAATATGTAGTCTTTTGTGACTGTCTTCTTGCACTGGGCATATTCTGAGTTCTTCCAGAAGTGTTCCCTGCTCTTCTACTTTTTGAGAGTTTGTGAAGAACTTGTATTATTTTTCATGAAAACTTTTTTAGAATTCATTTAAGAAGCCATTTGAGCCTGGGGTCTTCTTTATGGGTATCTTTTAAAATACTCATTTAACCTATTTACTTGATACGGGTTTATTCAAATTTTCTATTTCTATATTGGTTTCGGTAGTTTGTATCTTCCTAGGAATTTGTTCACCTCATCTAGGATAATTTATTGACATAAAATTATTCATAATATGCTTTCATAATCTTTTTTATTTCTACAAGGTCAGTAGAAACGTTCCCTCCTTTATTTCTGATTTCAGTAATTTGATTCTCCTTTTTTCCTGGTCAATCTAGCAGAAGGTGTGTCAGTTTTATTGATCTTTTCACAGAATCAACTTTAGGTTTCACTGATTTTTCTCTACTTTTTTTTTTACTCTATTTCACTTGTTCTCATCTAATCTTTTGTATTTCCTTCTTTCTCCTGGCTCTAGGTTTAGTTTGCTCTTCTTTTTCCAGGGTCTTAAGGTGTAAAGTGAGATTAGTGTTATGATCTTTCTTCTTAAGTATAGGCATTTATAACTATAAATTACACTGCAAACATCACTTAAGCTGCATCTTGTAAGTTTCGGTTTGTTGTGTCTTCATTATCATTCATCTCAAAGAATTTTGTAATTTCCTTTATGATTTTTTTCTTTGATGCATTGGTCATTTTTTGTTGTTGTTGTTCTTTTGTTTTTTAGAAACAGGGTCTTGCTGTGTTGCCCAGGCTGGTCCTCAATTCCTGGCCTGAAGGGATCCAAGGGATCCTCCCACTTCAGCCTGGCAAAGTGCTGAGATTCCAGGCATGAGCTACTGCATGCAGCCAGTCACTTACAAGTGTGTCTGATTTCCACATATTTGTGAATTTCCCAACTTTCTGTTATTGTTTTCTAACTTCATCCCATGTGGTCAGAGAACATGTTTTACACGATTTCAGTCCACTTATATTTATTAAGGCTTGTTTTATGCTTAAACTTATGGCCTACTTTGGAGATGTTTCATATGCATTCTGATGTTGATGTATTATACCTATGTTTCATATATATTCTGATGTTGGGTGGAAAGTTCTACAGATGTCTTTTAGGTCAATTTGCCTTATAATGTTGTTCAAGTTTTCTATTTCCTAGTTTATCTTCTGTCTAGGTGCTCTATTATTGAAAAAGGGGTATTGAATATTCCAACTCTTTTTATGGACTTATCTATTTCCTCCTTTCTTTCAGTGTTTGCTTCATGTATTTTGGGATCTGCTGTTAGGCGCATAAATATTTATGGTTGTTACATCTCACTGATGGATTGACCCTTTTATCATATAAAAATTTTACTCTTTATCTCTAATAACATCTTTTTAAGTCTATTTTGTCTGGTATTAGAATAGCCACTCTAGCTTTCTTATGGCTTTGTGTGGTGTATTTGCTTTCCAGCCTTTTACCTTTAATCTCTTTCTATCTTCTAATCTAAAGTGTGTCTCTGATAGATGGCATGAAGTAGAATCAGACTTGTTCTGACAATCTCTGCCTTTTGATAAATTGCTGAATCCATGCATATTTACTGTTATTTTGATATATGAAGATTTACGACTGCCATTTTACTGTTTGTTTTCAATGTGCCTCAAGCTTTTTGCTTCTCCATTCCTTCTTTTGCATTGAGTATTTCATAGTGTGATATTTACATTTGGTTAATAATATTTTTTATTTTTTTAAATATATTACCTTAGTGGTTGCTCTAGGGCTTACCATACACATCTTAACTAAACTAACAGGATTCAGATAAATACTAACTTAATTCCAAAGTAACAATCCTATTCCTATATAAACCCACTCCCTCTTTGTGGTATTATTGTTATACATGTTATTTCTATACATTATAAACCTAACACACATTATTATAATTACTTAATATAATTTTACATCTTTAAAACAAGCTGAGAGAAGAATGTTTATAGATTTTTTTATATTAAACTTATTTCCTATTTCACGTTCTCTCCATTTGTTCCTATTGATTTGTGTTACCATCTGGAATCAGCTCTTTAGTACAACAAGTTTTGCTTCTACTCAGCTTCTTTGCCCTGTTATTCGCAAATATATATTTTATATGTTATAGGCCAAACAATGCAACTATATACATATTGTTTTATATAATTGCTTTTTACATTAGTTAAGAGAAAAAAAATGCATAGATTGTTTCTGATAATTACATAATTATTTTTGCCTGTGCTCTTTTGCTGCATGTGCGTAGATTCAGATTGCTGTCTGAGGTCACTTGCTTTCAGCCCGAAGAACTTCCTTTTGTATTTCCAGTAAGTCAAGTCTGCCAGCAACAAACTCTCTTAGTTTTTGATTATGTGAGATGTTTTATTTCACCTTCATTTTTGAAAAATAATTTTAATGTATATAGGATTATTGGTTGACAGTTATTTTCTTTGAACGCTTTGAATGTGTTATTCCACTGCCACTGCCACTGTTTCTGAGGAGATGTCAATTGTTAATTTTATTTGAGTTCCTTGGTAAGTGATGGCTCATTTTTCTCGTATTGCTGTCAAGATTTTATTTTTGGGTTTTCGCATTTTTCTTATGATGTATCTGTTTGTAATTTCTTTTTTCTTCTGGGATGTATAGGTTAATGTCTCTCATCAAATTGGGGGTATTTATAGCCATTATTCCTTAGAATATTTTTCTGCTCCTTCTTTTCTCTTCCTTTTTTCCTGTACTCCCATTACAAATATGTAGGAATGCTTAATGGTGTCACACAGGTTCTATACTCTTGCTCAATTTTATTCATTTTTTTCTTTCTGTTCTTCAGTCTGGATAATATCTCAGTTCATCTTCACAACCCAATGAGGTAAGTAGCATTACTATCCTCACTTTACAGATGAAGAAAGCGAGGCTCAAATTAAGTGACTTGCCAAGGTCACTGAATGTTAAGAGTGGCTGTACAGGTCTGACTCCAGTTTGTACTACTTCCTCTATATATATTATCTTTTTATTTTCCAGAAACCATAAAAAACAACTGGGGGATTTGTGAATGGCATCTATCTAGAGGACTCTTTCTTCCCACTTCCCTTTGGTATTCTTTGCTAGTATGTTCCTCTTCTAAAATTCATATGCCTAATATTTAACATATATTAGACACTTAATCAATGTTTATTGCTTTGAATTCAATGATTAATCAATGGTTGCTAGCTTAAATGGCTATGAGAACACCAACATTTTGATCTAAAAGATTTCACTAGAAAAATATATAGCTTTTTGAAGACTGGTAACTTGTGGAGGAAGCATTCATTAAATATGTCAACTGACTTATGAAACTACCTACTATTACTGATGAGAGTTCTGACTTAATAGCATTTGTTGAAGCTTAGGCCTGGGGTCCTGCTCTTTTATTTACTAGGTGGATGAAATATGGACAAATGGGCTCTAGTAAAGAAATATTTCAACATTCAATTAGTTTTTTATTTCTGTATATAGGAAGCAGTCTAAGAAAGAATGTTATCCCTAGGGACAAATATTGAGGACCCCAGAAAAATTATAAAGATTTTAAAAAATCCTTAGGAATAATCCCTTGTAATTATCCTGAGAAAATAATACTCTTAGCACTCTACCGTTAATACTCAGCATATCATCTGTCCCATATAGTTTTCGATTATATAATAGAAAATGTTTTCTACTAGTTCTTTCCAAAAGTTGAAAGGGGTTTCCTGAATTACTTTTTTCCCCTCCCTCAGTTAGTTTTTCCTCTTCAACTCCAAACAAGCTGATGTCTATACATAAATCCTAGATCCAAGATTCCAGCACAAGAAAGACCATCCAAGACCCACAATCTATATCTATTCTAGCTACCACTTATTTCTGTAGTGCTACCTGTAGCACATGATACGAGAGAAGTAGCTTGGAGATTTGACCGTTGCTTTTTGTTCTTTCCAAACTCTATCACCAGTATTTTCCCACGTAGTTTATATCCATTTACTAGATGCAATGCTTGCCATGCTATCTCCTCATCTAAAAGAGAAAGAATAAATATCAATTTACATAGGACTTAATAATTCAATTCTATTCCGTGTCTAGTATTGGTTATTTTGCCTTGGAGTTAAATGTAAGCTATAAGGCCATATAATTATTTGATTTTATCATTTTTTCTATAATCTCCCATTTGCATTATTCAGCAAAGTTAAACTAATGGCTAAAAATAATAATAAAAACTCAAAATGGGTGTTTGAGGGTGTCTCCTAATTCAAAGAAATAAGTAGAGAAACAAGGATACAGGCAATGTGCTAAAGAATTCTAAGCTATTAGTAATTATACACAAGCCTCTATCTTAGGTAACTGATTATAAGTACTGTGAGAACCAAATTATTTTCAAAATGAGTAACACAAATAAAATAAGTTATCATGTTATTAAGGGCACCTTGCCACTTTATGTTTTTCAGTGGGAGAGTGGTTCTGGGCCACCTTACTGGGATAAATAAGTTTAAGAACCCTTGCAGGTATATGGGTTGAAATGTGAGAATATATACTATATGCCGGGAGTATTCGACTTATGGGTCTAAGAGCCTGGATGTAAGAAATAAGGAAGGGGTGATTTATGGCCAAGAGTTTGTGGTGTCATAAGTAGACAAATAGACTAAACCAATTTTGTTTCATATATATATGAAACAAATATATACTACAAATTTTTTAAAGTGTATAGCTTTTAAGATTAGTGAAATGGCTACACATTTTAAAGTCCTTGCTTTATAAAGCCTTTTTATTAAGTATTTTTTCAATTAATACATCATATCATGTGGAGTACCCATAAACTGTTTTTTAAATTCAAAAGGGGTTCTTATCCTTGAAAAAACTGAAAACTACTGATATAGAGGATTTAAAAATCTTTAGTATGATAGGAAAGATGGTACAAGACTGTATGAAGACAATGGAGGGGGTCTTAGCAGTACTCATGTGTAAAATCACTTGCCTACACATAGATTAATAGGCTATTTAGAAATGACGATACTTTAGGGACAATGAATGGTACAGATCCTACAAAGCCTCCCCACAAAACAACATATTATCTGGTCTGTCACAGAAACTAAAATTCTTATATTATTCTTCCCTTTGGACTAGAAGCCATGCATTAATATGCAAATAATATTTAGAAGACTATCATCATCTACTAATTATGAATTAGTATTAAATTAGTACATTAGCTTGCACTCACTGAGTCCTAAAGGAACAGGGCATAAGGCAAGTACATGTGTTCTGATCAGAATACTAATACATTAATTAATGAGTAATCTAATTATAACTTGGAATAGAAATCCTATCGTCAGTGAAGGGAGTATAGATTTTGGTAGGGTAAGAAAGAAGTATCAAGACTGGGAAAAATTGAGGACGCTGGGGTAATGTGGTCATGCATTGTCAATGGAGGAGAGGAAACACAGAAAGAAACACTGAAAACATATTTCTGTTCCTTCTCTAGTTCTCACATGCTGTGGAGAAATCAAAGGACTATATCTAAATTAGAGAGGTTATAGGTAGTCTCCAGTGAACTGAGGGGCAACTGAGTAATCATCTGGATGAAATTACTTACTGGGAAAGGTGATGAAAGCCTGGCCCCTCATTCGTCCAGTCATCATTCGGAATTGAATTGGAGGTCCTTTTTTCTCCTGGAACCGAGCGAACAATGACACAAGATCTCTTTCAGTCACCCGAGGGCTAAGATTCTTCAGGTATAACACCTAAAATAAATTGAGGATCAACCAAAATATCATATAAAGGAGGTAAGGCAACTCTTTTCTTCTTCTTTTTGTTTTTTTTTTTTTGAGACAGTTTCACTCTGTCACCCAGGCTGGAGTGCAGTGGTGTAATCTCGGCTCATTGCAACCTCCGCCTCCCGGGTTCAAGTGATTCTCATGCCTCAGCCTCCCAAGTAGCTGGGATTACAGTCATGTACCACCACACCTGGCTAATTTTTGTATTTTTAGTATAGATGGGGTTTTACCATGTTGGCCAGGCTGGTCTCGAACTCCCAACCCCAGGTGATCCAACCACTTTGGCCACCCAAAGTGCTGGGATTATACGCGTGGGCCACCGCTCCCAGCCATAAGGCAACTCTTTCATTATCATTAGAATTAGTTTCACATAAAAACGGTGGATTGAACACATTCATTTAATTTCATTCCATCCAGAAAACTCTCTAAAACTATGGGAACCTTTTTTTTGTTGTTTTTTTCAGAAAGAGTCTCACTCTACCAGCCAGGCTGGAGTGCAGTGACATGATCTCGGCTCACTGCAACCTCTGCCTCCCAGGTTCAAGCAATTCTCTGCCTCAGCCTCCCGAGTAGCTGGGATTATAGGCGCCCACCACTATGCCCAGTTAATTTTTGTATTTTTCTTAGAGACGGGGTTTCACCATCTTGGCCAGGCTGGTCTTGAGCTCCTGACCTCGTGATCCACCCACCTTAGCCTCCCAAAATGTTGGGATTACAGGCGTGAGCCACCGCGCCCGGCTACTATGGGAACTTAAAAAAACAAAAAACACAAACCAACAAGGTCAGGAGGAACAAGAAAAGGAGATAACAGCAATAGTCTGGAAGATGAAAAACTGGATGAGCAGGAACCAACTCAGCACACTGAAGAAAGCTGAATTTTAAGCTGGTAGTGCAGAAAGATAAGAACCCACCTGTCACCACTTAAGAATCCTGAAATAGTTCCTGAACTGACTATTTCACTTACCTTCAGAAATAAATGTGAAAGGATGGGGTTAAAATAAGGCAGCTGGGTTGAAGGCTGTCTAAAAGCCAATTTGATCTTTAAATACCCTCCCTCACAATATACTATGGGGTAAAAGAAAACTTGCCAATCTTGATAGAATACTTGAGGCTTATCGTCAGAAGACAAGGAATGCTATACATAGTTGAAGATCTGAATATTGTTTCTGAAAACAAGGAGACTAAGAGAAAGAATGCATACTAAATGTTGAGGTGCTCCAAGACCTTGCCATTTGGCTCCTAGAATGCTGGTAGTACCCTCCTAACAAAGAGTTTGGAACAGTATTCTCTGGGAAAACTGGTAAGTCCTAGGAGGAAAGATATACAAATACTGACTTGGGATGAGGAATTTCTCCAACAAATGGCCCAGCCAGACCACTTTAAAGTGAAGCTCAAAGTTAACAAGTGCCACTTGTGTGCTTAGAGATTCCAATCTGCTTTTTGGTCCCTACCTATAAAGTTGGGCATGGATTATCAGGCAACTTAGGAAATCCTCTAATGTTAAAGAGAGAACACAACAAACATACAGAAAAGAAAAGAAATAGGAGGAAAAAACTTCAACAAACCATAACTAATATCCCCAGAAAAATAAGATAAATTATTCCACCTATTAGGCATGGGAGGGTAGATGCGGTGGCTCACCCCTGTAATCCCAGTGCTTTGGGAGGCTGAGGTGGAAGGATCGCTTGAGTCCAGGAGTTTGAGATCAGTTTGGGCAACACAGAGAGACCCTGTCTCTACAAAAGGTACAGGGTGGCATGTGCTACTTGTAAGCAAGTAGCACGTGCCACCACAACTGGCCAACTTTACAAGTCTCAGCTATTTGGGAGGCTGAGGCAGGAGGATTACTGGAGCTCAGGAGTTTGAGGCTGTAGTGAATTACGATCACACCACACCACCACACTTAAGCCTGGGCAACAGAGTGAGACCCTTTCTCAAAACAAAAAAAAAACAAAAAAAACAAATCAAGAGAAGTAAAATGAGCTCTTATATGTGACTGAACTTAAGATGTTATCAGCTTCAAACAGATTGCTTTACCATGCCCTATACCTATAGGAGATATACAGAGGAAAATGAGAAATATATGAAAGTACGTCACTACCAAAAAACCCAATGAACCATAAAGGAAGACAGCTGACAGAGAGACAAAAGAGCTAAAAGAGAGACAGAAAAAAATGAACAAATGTTAATAGTAAATCCTTTGCTAGCAATAGTTACATTAAATATTAATAAACTCCCCAAAAACAGAGTACCTGAATGGATAAACAAGATCCAACTACATGCTAGCTATTCTATGAGGCCAGGATTACCCTGAAACCAACCCAGACAAAAACATTATAAGAAAAATACAGACCAATATCCTTAATAAACACATGTAAAAATCCTCAACAAAGTATTACCAAACCAAATTCAATAGCACATTAAGAAGATTACACAACATGACCAAGGGGGATTTATCTCTGGGATGCAAGGATGAATCAATATACAAAAATTGATCAATATCACATATTAATAGAAAAAAATATTAAAAATTATATGATCATCTCAATAGATGCAAAGTATTTGATAAAATTCAACACTGTTTCATGATGAAGACACTCAACTACTAATAAAATGAAATTACCTCAACATAATAAAGGCCATATATGTAAAGTCCACAGCTAACACAATATTCAGTATTAAAAAACTAAAAGCCTTTCCTCCAAGATCAGGAACAAGGCATGGATGCCTACTCTCACCACTTCTATTCAGCATAGTACTGGAAGTTCTCGCCAGAGCAAATAGGCAAGAAACAGAAGTAAAATGCATCCAAATCAGAAAGAAAGAAGTAAAATTATCTCTGTTCACAGTTGAAATGATCATACATGTAGAAAACACTAAAGACTCAACAACAACAAAAAATTAGACATCATACTAAACAGAGAAAAGCTGAAAGCTTTTCCTCTAAGAACTGGCAAAAGACAACAATGCTCACTCTACTCTCACTACTCTTATTCAACACAGTAGCGGAAGTCCTAGCCAGAACAATTAGATAAAGGAAAGACGTAAAAGGCATCCAAAGCACAAAGGAAGAAGTCAAAATATCCCTGTTTGTAGACAACATGATCTTATATCCAGAAAAACAAAACAAAACAAAAAACCTAAGAAACTCTACCAAAAAGCTCTTAGAACAGATACACAAATTCCGTACAGTTGCAGAATACAAAATCAACATACAAAAATCAGTAGCATTTCTATACATGAACTGCGAACTAGCTGAAAAAGAAATCAAGAAGGCAATATTTATAATAGCTACAAAAAGCAAAATAAAATACCTAGAAATAAATTCAATCAAGGAGGTGAAAGGCCTCTACAAGAAAAACTACAAAACATTGGTGAAAGAAAGTGAAGAGGATATAAACAGAAAAATCAGTTGTGGTTTCTATACACTACTAATGAACAATATGAAGAGAAAATTAAGAAAGTTATCCCATTTACAACAGTATTGAAAAGAATCAAATACTGAACAGAGGACTTAACCAACGAGGTGAAAGACTTGTACTCTGAAAATTGTTACAAATGTTGCTGAAATAAATTTTAAAAAACACAAATAAATGAAAATATACCCTGTGTTCATGGATTAGAAGACTTAGGATTAATATATCCATACTATCCAAAGCAGTCTACAGATTCAATGCAATCTCTAACAAAGTCCCAATGGCAATTTTTACACAAATAGAAAAAAACAATCCCCAATTTCATATAGAACCACAGATGACACCAAATAACCACAACAATCTTGGGAAGAACAAGGCTAGAGGCCACACACTTCCTTATTTCACAATATTTGATTACAAAGCTACAGTAATCAAAACAGTATGGTATTGGCATAAAAACTGGACAAATAGGTCAATGGAACCAATTTGAGAGCCTAGAAATAAACCCATGAAGCTACAGTCAACTGATCTTCCACAAGTGTGCCAAGAATACAACATGAGAAAAAGATACATCGGATTATCCAACATTATTTTAGTTTGTTGCACAAATTCTTCCAGCTTTAGTCATTGGAAGCTCTTTCATTAGCATTTCCTTACTTTCTGGCACTACAAGATGTGCAAGGCTTATCTTGTATATTTCCCGCCCCAATATTAGAAGCAGCCATTTCTCTAAGGAGCCCTAGTTCATTTTATTAGAGAATCGTATTAGAAACCAAGATATGGATACTGAGCAAGCTCACTGCTACTGGGGTGTCCTTTCATTTGGGTCCTTTCAGCTCACAGAACAAAAAATATGTGTTTATACTAATCCATGTATACATAAACACATATAAAGATTTCTATATGTAACCACTTGTATCTATATTAAACATGAGTTCATCCTGATGTCTCCAACTGTAAACCATTATCACATGGATCATTCCAGCTTCCTCCCTTTACTTATCTGTGATTCCAATAGTGAGAAACCTGGCTCCCACCATCTGCCATCCATTTACTTAATTGTTCCATTCCATCATGCATGTATAACAGTATCAGAATTGTTACTCCCCAAGTAACCAGTACCCCCCATGGGACATAACCTTATCAACAAGGCTACCGTGCTTATGTGAAGTTCCATTTGCTTTTAGTCTTTCAGACTCCACATTATTTCCAAAGATGCTTAGTCCAGTATCTTTTCCCCAATCCTTTCAATGAGGTTGCTTTATATATTTGTAATACAGTTAGATTCTCTTCTCACTGTCTGCATTCTTTCCTAGGGTCCCTCAACCTCCTAAATGAGTTTTTAACATTTGTATACATTAAGTGTCATTCTTTGTGCTATGTAGTTTAACGGGTTTTGACAAATGGATGTCTTGCCTCTACAATTACAGTATTCTACAGAATAATTTGGTCTAAAAATTCCCTGTTTTCATCTACTCCTCCCTTCTCCATTCCCCTCAAACCTTTGGCAGGCATTTAGCATCTGTCTACGTTTTCCCTCTTCCAGAATGT